GACCTTTTCGTGGGGATGTCCAAGGACTAGGGATTCCCAGCTACGACGCAGGATGTATCCATTGAAGCCCCCAAGGTTTCTTAGGCCTCGAGAACCTAAGGTATCCATCCACGAGGGCAATAAGAGAGAAAAGCTTCAAGCCTTAACCCTTCGCACTCGAGGACTTTTTTCCTGGTATCTACCAGCAACTCGAGATGCTTCCTTAGCATTTCATTACCTCGAATGCTAAGCGTATTGCTAGATTTACAGCGACCAATAACCAATGAACCACGATACAGGTAGTTAGGAAGGCTCAAGCTGCACGTCTCATCGCTAGTCGCGAGCATTCGTGTTTACGCGTTATGGCCACAGAGAAATGGTGGCAGAGAGGTAGAGTCGAGGGGAAGAGGAGAGGAACGGGACGGACAGGCGCCTACGGCGTGGATTCGAGTGGCGCCACCGCTAACGTAAGCGTCAGCCTTAGCGCCGGTCGCGCGTCCGGATCGGCCGATATTATCCAGGAAGTTACGAGCCGCACCTGTCCCATCATACCTCTCCCACCCATCGGGCCACGTCGTCCTCGTCGCTGCTTTTACACAGGGCCGCCGCAACTCGCCCCTCCGCGAACGCAGGTGCTCGACGTCGCGCCGACAGACACCGCCAGTTCAAACGTCTGCTCCAAGCGCAATCTTCGGGGCAACGTGATTTCCGTTACCAACACACTTTTGAAAAAGTAGTATCCAAGGTGGATAGGTACGTTAGGTGGAAGAGCAATCGCAGGTGCCAGCCAATCTTTACGTCTAGCCAGAGTAGAACCTTCCGGTGGACGAGGACGAGCCAGCACGTGAAAAGTACCGGATATGAGCTTGAGAGAGTTTAATTCGTTGGTCCTCGGCGCCGGCGGTGAAGGGGGGGTTGAAATTATGATGCGCGACCGACTGGGGCCTAGTTTCTCAAATCGTATTCAAGTATCAGTATATATTCATCAGCCTATTTGTTCTCTGGCATGTTATTCTTCTCCCTGTATTCGGTAGAATGTACGTTATGATTTTAGGTTCTCGATTAGATAAATTTATGGTCCCTATTTGCGTTTGCGTCGCGTTCGTGGACGCGGAGGTTTCTGAATGCGGTCGCAACCGGAAAAATAAATGTCCCACCTTGTTTTACAACAAAGAATTAAGTAGGGACAGGCGCCAGCGATGTAGACGATTACCCATGGTCCGGTGAACACGCTGCGCAGGGGCAAACCGGGCTTTTCCATTCGCCGAACGGACGTCGCTAATACGTCTCGAATTTCCATAAACGTGTGAAAACCGCGACGACGCGACAGGTGGCTGGATCCTGTACGAAAGAAAGCAGTCGCGGAAAACGGCTGTATTAATCACCGCGTTGAATTATTCATCCTGTCCGAACTGTTCTTTGTTATTCAGAATCACGGTCCCCCTGATCCCTTCCGACGGTTGTGAATTTTTAGTACAGTATACCAAAGAAGTTTGCGCAGTTCTAAGTACACCTATATATCAAACCATTTCACGTTTACACAAGAGAAAATGAATTCTTTTTTCGCGATTGACTTCCATCTAGGAAGCAGAAATCTCGCTGATTAGTAATTTTGACACTCGTCTCGGAAACTTGGTCCTAGTTCATCGGGAGTCCACCGAAAGACAGCCTCAGCTGGACCAAGAATAGCCTGAAACGCCTCCGCGGTTCGCGGAAGATGAATTATAGCGGAATCGTGAGTAGCCGCTTCGAAGAACGACGGCGATTGCTCTCGTCGTCGTGGTTGGAATTTGGAGCGTTGACAGCGGCGCCGCGGCCGTCGGAGTTTGGAACGCCGCGCCGTTCAAAGAAACGTATCGGTTGACTCCTACTATATAGGGTGATTCTAGTATCTGGGCCAGATTATAGCTCTCTGCTCCAAGCAAAGATAGTACGTACCCTGAACAGGTACAGAAAAGTGAGGCATTTTTAGTGGTTTAACTCTCACCTGCTTTACATCGCGTTACTTGCACTGAATATAAAGGGTGTAATTTATTTGCTAGTACGAGTTTTTTGCAAGCATTTAATTCAACACGTGGACTCCTTTTAATAATGTACCAAAACTCCTTCGTCGATTAGTTTCAGGCGTAGAAATTCTCTTTTTCTGCAAGAAGAGGAGGAGGCGCGTTTGAAAAATCTCGGAAAATAGTATTCTACAAGGAATGCAACGTTCCTTCAATTTCTGACTTCAAGGGAAGTCCGAATAGTGAAATACCTAAATTCTTCTAGAGGTGTCACCCGAGGTATTCTGTTTTCCTGTTCGTGACGTTCTTCGCTGCATTGTTCCGCCGCCGCCGACGCCGCGCCAGGGCGCCGGCGTTTATGTAGAAGCAGTGATTCTTAACCACAGATAAGTATATTTTGTTCGTCTAATACGTAACACGTTCAACCAAAGTATAGCAATTCATTCACATCCATTTATTCGATTGAACAAAGAGAGACGGACCCAGAAGAACCTCTCAAAAACCAAGATATTATTCTTTCTACGATACTATTACAAGTGCATAACCAAAGAAAATTCCACTTCATCCCCGTGTTATAATTAATCTCGTTCTAGGATTAATCGTAACTTGAATTATTCACTCTATAAATAGAATGAATTTAAACTCACCTGAAGCGTAATCCAAGTTTAGAAAGCTTAAGAACCACTGCGTCGGTACATTCTTGTACATTTCCATGGTCCGTTTAGGCGACTACCGGTGTCATCGGCGCGATATGTCAAGAATGGCGCCATGCCCGTGGTGTAGTGCAAGGAACGTGAATAATTTTCGTGTTTGGAAATAGAACGAAGCAAGTGTGTCCTGTTCTGGTCCTACGCTCGTGCAGCCCGTTACGAAATGGTTATTCGCCACGGCTTATAATTTTGTACCCTAACTCCGCCGAGACGAACGTATAATTCCGCTCAGCCGAAGGGGAGGAGATGGGATCCCCTCCAACCTCCGATACATTTTTGTTTGCTTAGGTATGTTACCAATATCATAAAACGCGTTAAGCTTCGTAGCACACACATCCCCAACGATGTTTTATGAGAGACGATACACTTTTCCCTTTTTTCTTTCCTATGATGGTTCTCGATTAGATTTTGTAAGATTAGTCGACCAAATTGGCCGACACTCTATACATAATTCGAATGGGTTCAGACGCGCTTAAATTTTTAACGAGAGTCTGCTAGCCTCCCTTACCCCCATCGAAAAGCATTTTTTCCACAGTAGTCCGTTTATTTATTTTTAATTTAAATAAAACTAATAAAACTATTTAAATAAAGAGCGAATATGACACCGAGAGATCGAGGCACCTAGTGCGTGGACGGCCCTGGAGAATTTACCAGACTTTACCGAATGAACATACGATGAAGCGAGACAAAATCAGTGCACGATGGAAGGGTTGAGTGAGGAGGGAAGGCTGAGAGATGAGAGGGGAGAGAAAGAACGACGGACAGTTTGCGGAGGCCAGGCGCCTGATTACTAGCCAGCTCAGGACGCCAGACATACATAACTAAATAACTTCCTAAATTCTATATCATTTCAGAGCGGGTTCCAACGGTGAAATAACGCGTCTAGACGTCTCTGAAGAAAACGAACACGGCGGCGGCAAAATAAGAGCGAGCTTTAATGCGTCAAGACGGTGATTTATCCCTCGGAGTCATTTTCAATATGGAGTCCGTGAAATAAATTAATGGGGACCCCCTTTAAGTTTCACGGCGAGGCGGTATCGATTCAAATTTTCTTATCTTCGCGGAGACCAGTGACAAATGGACGGATCATTTCGTATTATTGAAACGATATTCTTTTTTCCTTTTTATTACGCTTGCTGTTTGCACGGGAAATTTAAGTATCAAGTCTACATCAGCGTTTATGCGAAACGTTTTTAGTTGCGAATCGCTTTTCACGTTAGGAAACGTCCACGAAGCACTTGCATTCTTTGCTGTTCTTTTATTCTTTAACATTTATTATCTGTTTTTTGAGAAAAAGTGTATACCAAGACAACGCGAGTTATGATCTTTATTTAAAAAAAAATCCGGAGATCAAACATTTTACAAGGGATTATATTTGGAATTTATACCGCGATATGCCATTCCAGATTCCTTCTAGTCTTCGAAACATCTCCCTCCGCTATTTATACCTGCTCGTCGAAGGTGTGGTTCGACGAGGTTGAAATGTGCGTTGATTTTTTTCTACCACGACAGGTAGGGATCGGATACTCGGATAGACAGAAATCAGTTTATAACTTTTATTTTTCCCCCTAAACCAGGTGACTCGAAAGTTTTAACTTAAACTCTGAAAATAGATGTTCTCTCTGATACAGAAACCGACGTTTAAGTTACCTACATTTCTCTGCTACACTCAACGTAATCTCTCGCAAATACCAAAAAGGCATATCGATACTACCATAAACACACGCACCGAGTAATCTGGCAAACGAGAGATAAATCTTTTTTTTTTTCTCAACATTCTTTTCTGATTCAGCAAAGATGACAAGGGGCGGTCGAAGTACATATCTCCTTCGTCTTGGAATGTTGACCCTCCGGGTGGAGTACTCGTCGGGGACTGGCGCTGGCGCTACGTAGAGGCGCTGGCGTCAGTCTGCTCGGCTGCTCGAGTAACCGCGACCGACCGGCTGACGCCCCCGTCTTCAAACGAGTCCACCTTACGTTTTGCCCCCCTTCTTGCCTGGACTAATCTCCCCCCGCCCTTGTTCAGCTTCTTTCTCTCACCCCTTGTCATCGCCAACTTCTCCTTCCACTCCTTATCCTGCTCCGCAACGTGTTCCAGTTGCACGAATGGCAAACGCCGAACAGATCCACGAACGATCGATCTGCGCTCCAAAGCTATTCGAAAAACGATCCCTTAAAACAGGCTATTTATTTTATGTTTAGATTACCGAAACCTCTTTAAATTCTAGTATTGGATTTCCTAGGTGAACGTAGAATTAGAATTGGTACTGTTCAAATAGGGGTTGAACTTTTTGTCGGTCTTCAGAGCAAAACCTAGTTTTACTATTCCTAATCAATATTTGAAATATTACTAAATTAATATAATTTCAGATGGAATGATTGTATTATGTTTTCATTTAATTCGTGTATTCTTATATTAAATATCAAATGTATCTAAACACCATCGTCAACCGCACCAGAACAGGAACCAAGGGTAGAAGAAGAAGCATTTCCTAAAGAAACGCGAAAAATACCCCTTATTGATTGCAACAGTACGCATACATAAAAAGAATGTAGCATACTCGACATATCCTGCACGGTAAGAAAAGCAAAGTAATCGCGAAAATATTCGAATGATAGAATACGTAGGGAAATCGAAGAGAGATTCCGGTAGCGATGATCCACGGTGCAGGAGCGCCGCCGCGACTGGCGCCTCTCGCGGCGAACATTGGAAAGAGTGGCGCGGCAGCTCGACGGCCATGTTTAACAATCTCCCTTGTGTGTTTAGTATGCTGCGGTCGGTGTATCGGCGCGCCGAGACGAGACGGACGGGACGAGACGAGCGACGGCGGCGACGAGGAGGTGGAGGAAGAGGCGGTGGAAATCGGTGTGCGCGCTCATGACGGGGACCTCGTGCGTACCAGTCGCGTCGTCGAGCCGAGCCGAGTCGAGTCGTGTTACGGCCGTAATCGTGGTTGTTCCTCGCAACAGTTTGTCCCGGTGACCACGTCAGTATCTGTGCGCGAACACGAGAAAACTAGTGCTCGTTAGCAGTCGAAACGTTCGGTGAATCGTAACGCCACGTCCGAGCAGAACCGAACGAGACGAGTCTCCCGTTGCAGGCCCGCGCGGATAAAACTTTTGATTATTATCGGCACTCGAGAGCAACTGTGCTCCAAAAGTTTTAAAACGTGCAACCGTAGCCAGGCGCTGCTCTCGTTCGACCTCTCTCGCCCTCCGCGAGTTATATATCCGATCAGTGCGCGCTAGTCCTCCCTACTCTCTTTTTCCTCGGGTGTATTTTTCACTCGCTCGCTCCCAAGCGTCCGTCTCCGTTCCCGTGTTATCCCTACTCGGTGTCTCGCGGCGTTTCTCTCGCTCGCTCTTCGGGCAGCGATTTCAAGAATGTGACAGTGCGCGTCCTCGCGGTCGCCTCGCGCGAATAAGCCCGCAGGCCGGCCACGGCGATGGGTGACGAGCGACAAGTGTGTTACGGTGAATAGTGAAGAAGTGCGGAGAAACACCGAAGGAAAGAGCAGAGAGAAAGACTGAACGATGCCAGTGGAAAATGTCACTCGGTGATACGCGTACACGGATGACGGGGAGTGATCGACGCGACAATCTCGGATTTGAGGTTAAAGTGTCGTCGTCGTCTTCGTCGTCATTGTTGTTATGCGGTGCCGGTGCGCCGGCATTGGCCACGGCACGGGCAAAGGAGTATCAAGAACGAAAACGGCATTACCGCCACGGTCTGGACGTTCGAGATTTCGAGAGACATTGATCAAAGGTCCCAGTGTTCGACGTTCGCGATCGAGGATACTTTACTAATGAGAGTACTCACCACCGAGAGGTTGAGTTGTTTTGCTACCACGGGTGTACGAGATAAGGGGTTGCCTTTTAAAAGGAGGACTCGCGATAGAAAACAATTTTCACTCCAAGACGACCGATGTACGTATTTTCTACGCGCGCGGTAGCGCGTCTGTGTTCGTGGTTGTGCGCCGGGTCGCGAGGTTAAGGCACCGCTGTCGTCGATATACAACGTCCGAGGAAAGTCAAGAACCGGTGTCGTGTGCGCCACCGAACAGCGCCGCTACGTGCTGTGGATAAGTGCATCGCGATTATTTAGTGCGCGTACGTAACCTCCACGGACACCAACGTGGATAAACGAACTCTTACTCGACAAAAATTACCTTTTCATTGGAAAATCGATTAGGAGTAGACTGTTCGCTTGAATGAAATTATAGATAGTCCTCTCGTGCCTTTCGCTGCTGTATTATGCGCCACGTTCTTCTGTCGACGGCTGGGATACCATAACCTTGTAATAAATCCCGAATCGATAAGAAGGCGCTCCGAGTGATCGAGACCACGCACCCTGTGGCACGTCAACCAATCGAAGCAGCGACCAGTTGGCGTATACAGTGGGCGCATAGGTAAACGGAGAGCTCAAAGTCGGCAGACGGTATTCGACCCAACCTCGTTTACCAGCTTGAAAAAAGTTCCGCGGCGCCATAGACCACGAGGTTCCGAACACGCGTTTCACGTTCGATGCGGGGAGTCCAAGGTGGAAAATTGAAGAACAAGTTGGAGAGAGTCGCGTTCAACGGTCGCGCGATTCTCCACGAGCTCTAGCGACGGGGAATCCCGGCATTCTGGCACGGGGGACTCACGCATCACACTATTTCGGGACCGTGATCCAAAGTGCACCGAGATATACGCCAGGAGAGCATAAATAAATATACGTAAACTGGTATACGCGTGTGCCTCCGACTCTCTGGACCCCGTCGTTTCGTCGAGGGGACCGTTCGTCTGTGATTTCTTCGTGCGTCCGTGCAGGGGAGGCAGTGTTTGTTTATCTCTTTCACGGACGGTGTGTAACCGACGGTGTATATACTTCTCGTGCACGGTTTTTTCAGTCGTAGTCGGCGCGTTGGCGAAAGAGGAACAGGGGACAGCCTCGGTGGCGAAGAAGAGGAAGAGAAAAAGAAGAAGACGACGCCCGCGGAGACGATCGGTAACAGCTGCGACGCAGGGGGCAGGCGGAGGTGGTTGGTTCCCTCCGGTCGACGGTTTCACAGATCCCGTGGGTTTCTCAATTTTCCGCGCGGCAACGTTAAAAAGTACTGGCCCCCAAATGCGCGTACCGCAAATCCTGTTTCATGTTCATGTTCTGGAGCAAACGGACGGCGCTCACTAGACGTCTCCTAAAGGCCAAAGTCTGTGGAGAGCATGAAACCGAGTGTGAAGCTCAAGAGGATTCGTCACGTATTCACCGCGCAAACAACACGGCCGGGACCGAGAACGACACGAGCAACGTGACGGGAACGAGAGGAGTGCGCGGAGCGTCGTCAGGAGGTGTAGTCGCAGGTGGAGGTGGTGGCGGGCGTATCGCGTCGAGTAGACTCCATCAAGGCTGCTGCGGCGGCGATCAAAGCCAGGACGATGACGAGGATCCCGTACGCGTGTTAAGGTGCAAGGAGCTCCTCAAGTCGCTCAAGGAAAATCAGCTCGAGATGTTGGTCACCGCCGTGGAGAGCTGCGGCGCCGATCTCGGCTCGTGCGTCTTGGTGCCCCGTCACCATCCGGAGGACGTCTACGACGCGGACCAACAGTACTATCGTCCCCATCGTTACAATCACCACAACAATCATTACCACTATCATCACCCGCATCACAACCACTATCACAATCGGCATCACCGCAGGCATCATCGTTCCTCGTCGCTGGAGAACGACGACGAACAGAATTCCGGCTCGGAGGACTCGTGCGCCTCACCGATGAGAAACGAACGGTGCAGGCCACCGATGCGAGGCGCGATCGAGAACGCGCCGATCGATCCGCACTTGCTCTGCTGTCAGATCTGGCGGTGGCCGGATCTAGCTCACTCCTCGGAGCTCAAGACGCTTCCTGTCTGTCATTCCGCTAAAGACCCCGTATACATATGCTGCAACCCTTACCACTGGAGCCGGCTCTGCAAACCCGGTGAGCGCATCACTTTTCTTCCATATCTATACGATTTCATACATATAAGTAAACGTATCCTCTGAAACTAGCAAAAGTAACCCTTTAGCTTTTGGCCAAAGTAACCCCCCTAACTTTTTGGCTAAAGCGATAGCTTAATTTTTAACATACAAGAGTGAAGCATCGATCAAGGAAGTCCACGGTATAACAAAGAGTCCTATCTGTACAAGGAGAAACGATATCTAACAGGTAGCGCGAGAGTCGGATGTTTTTCGATTAGAATTAGAGTAAGGCTAATCGTTGGCGTCGCTCGCTCTTACAGGCGGCTCAACTGTCACTCAGAACCACAGATACAATGCGCCAAGAGTAAATAACGATGACGTTTCTTGTATAAACACATTCGTAGTAGAAATATACGATGGCCATTTAAATTATACCGGTAGGAACTCGAGTGAACTCGATGAATCTTAGGCGGAACTGTTACAACATTCTTATTTCAATTGATTCAACTAACTTTCATTTGATAGAACTCGAACTATTTACACAAAGTAACGTCTCTTCTCCATCTGACGGCTTGTACGAATAATTTCGGACAGCTCACACAAAAATTACAATCCACGCCGTGCCAAAAGAGTTAATCTGCTCCACACCGTTCTGCCTAATTGCTCGAGAACAAAGGAGCTGTAGTAATAGGTGTACGCGCATTTCAAACTGACTTCGAATTATTGTACAGCGTCGAATAACATCGACTATCCTTCGTCACCTAAAATATGGTTGTGCAAATTATTAAGGCTCGATGGTCGGCTTCGATAGATATAAATATAAAAGTGATCTGATAATTCTTGTGGATCATGTGCATTGGCGCAGTTGGTATGTTTTGAATGCGGCGAGTTTATTTATAAAGATGAAGTAATCCGTTTGATAAGCTACCGCAACCCACGCACTAGCGCTTCTCTAATAATTGCTTTAACGTAATTTTTCGATCGCCCTCGTCGGGCACTTTTGCTGCCAATTTTATTGCCTTATCGCGAGTAGCGTACTATTTGATAACGTAAATACCGCGAGCAGATAAGACGCGATTTACAAACACGTGAAAAGAGAAATAAGACCGCGATCGGAAGATAAATGCATGCATTTCACTTCGCCATAATTTGCATTACATATATCGCATACCGCGCATATTTAGTTAGCAATGTAAAACGTTCGTCAAACAAACCGATACGTAGAAACCTGACTTTTCATTCGATGGCTATCAGTTGATTTCGCGTCTGTGATAACGCGATAAATTAAATAGTGAAATGCGAGTTGAAATTCATATTTATTAACGAATTTATTAGGAAAATCGTTCGTATTCCACGAAACTTGAAACTATTCGAATTTACGATAGCTCGTGACAAGAACGTAGTGAGAATTACAATAAAATATTACCATCGATAGAGAAGAATTTCGTACGTGTAGCATTGCTCGTAAAGTATTCGAATAGCAAGTGATTTCAAATATCCTATCATCGACACGTGGTCGGTGAAGCACGTGGTGGGGATATGCTAGGGGTAGGAGGAATTCGGTTAAATCACCGGTCGTTTACTCTCGGAGGTGTCGAACCTCCGGCGTCGATTCGGTGGCGAGGGAATAATTTAGCGGCGTGAAAGGGAGGTATTGTAACGGCAACGGCCGCAAACGAAATGCTAATCGTCACCTGCACGCACCTCGCTAACGAGCCTAAAGGCTCGGGTCAATGTAAAACCGTAATTTATTACCGATAGCTACGAGGATTAGCCGGTGTCCAGCTGGTTGGGTGCTCCTAGGTAAATGGTACACTGTACACGCGTTCGTGGACTGAATAAAGTCGGTTAAATTGCGTTTCAATGCGGGCTGCACTCTTTCTAAGTGAACTACGTTTGTGCAATAGACACAAGAGCGGAATAGCGAACGATGTTGATACGTGTAAACGTTCTTGATTACTTTTAGTAGCTGTTCAACGAGCGTGGCGGTAATAAATTTTGATGAAAGCGGACGTTTTACTTTGCCACGGGAATTGGTAACGAAGCGTGCCGTTGCGCTTCTGTTGCTGGAACGACGCAAGGTCTGGATGGAATTAGATTACGGTAGAACCTCCATTATCTGTATTAAGGGGATGTCACGCGCTCTAGAATCCCCGAGAAGGTGTTTGCTATCGGAATTTCTTACTCGAACGCTGTTGATCATAGCTTCTTCAATTATACCAAATTTCCGTACACACATTTCGATTGGTACGACAAACATTCCATGGGAACAGTTATAAAAAATGATAGAGCTACAGAGTAAAGTCTCTGTTTGAATAAACTGTTAGCAGGAAATATTGCAAGATATCTGGGATTGAACACGAGTTTCATATTTATGCAAGAACCGATGAATGAAGCGCGAGATAAAATTAGCAAAATAGTATTAGATGTCATACGTTCTCTGACGTTCGTCGCGATCGCAAGTAGCCGCGAAACTTATTAATTTCGGCGAGCTCCCGTGGCGTCGACCCAGTCTGCCCCCACGCTGTCCCTCTTCACTTGGCGACATGAATTCAACCGCAAAAAACTGTCGCGTCCTATCGACGAAAGGAGGGAAAGAGAGAGCGAATGCGAGGCGCCAGCAAAACGCGTCTTTACGTAACCCCGGCGATCATTTAACCTAATGCTACCCAACTTGAGTGGAGTACAGGTCGTGCGAAAACGATTGCGATGCTAATGCTCTTGGATCGTGACTTCGAAATCACTCGATCGTTTCGTGATCGAATAATTCAAGGAAGCATAATTTCAACTCGATACATTCGTATCATTTAAATATTTACTGCTCGGTCGGCTCCCTTGTTATCAATTTTATACACATTTTATTTTAAAAAAAAAAAAAAGTGATAAATTATTACAAGCAGAACTGCGTTGACAAACATATTTCCATCTTAAAGAAACCAGCCTAACGATCGCGATTTCGTATTCCGAGGGTCGTTTATCGAATAAGAAATCTATCGATTACACGTCTGAATGAAATCGACCTAGGCTGATATACGCGACAGCGTGCATCGTAGCGTAGAAAAAAAAAAGAAACATTTAGGCGTGAAGCAATAGAAAAGATACTTATTGACGCGGCGGAGGCGATAAATCGGGTTCACGAGATTGGACAAATGATCGTCGAAGCATTACTCTAATCGTTTTTATGGGCTTGCCTCTTGCACGCAGAATGCCTACCAGAGAGAACTCGTAAACCCGATATCTCTGTGCGACGTTAAGCAATATTAATTTTAGGAGCCTTAACGCGGCGCCAAATCTCGCGACGACGTGGATTCGTCATGCTCTGGCGCGCCTCATGCGATCTATCGATAATCGATGAAATTCTTGTCGCCAAGTAAACATCGACTGGCTCCAATTTTTTCCTGAAAAATTGTGATATTTCTCGCGTCAAGTATCCTATTTAAATATATTCAAAAATTCTAGTAAATATCCTTCTTCCTCCTATATCTGTGCACGTTTCAAAACTCTCGTTTAAAACATTCTTAGAGCTGTAAAGCAATACCCTCCAATCTTGCACGCGCAAACCCTCGTTTCATGTACACATTCAGATAAGAATTTTGCCCCATCCCCCTATGTGGACCGGGAATTCAGTGAAACGAAGCCCTCCATACAGGAAAATACAGTGGATCCTCCGGATTCCACGCTGAGGTTTCCACGTCTAATAATAGCGCGCGCGCATGAGCGAAGCCGTCGACGGGGCGCATTTGGGGAAAGAGAATGAGAAATAACGCGAGAAGAATGTCGTTCGTGGAGAACGAGTGAATAGAAGACTGGTCAAGAACAGAGGAGTCAACAAAGTGCGAGGAACGGTGCTTAAGGAGGGTGTGGATCGAGGGGTTGGCGGGAGGGAGGGGAATTTGAGAGAGGCATGCGCGGAAGAGGAAGGTAAAAAGAGAACGAAAACGGGGAGGAAAGAAACGACGAAGAAACAGTCGTCGGGACGTACAGTCGACGCTTCGTTGGAGGGCTGGAGGGGGGGGGGGAGGGGAAACTTCGGCGACCGGCATTTACCAATAGCCGCACAATCAAAGTTATGGCCAGAAGGAAATGAATCTAAAAATAAAACGTATATTGGGCGAGTCGCGGCCTGCCAAAGAGAAGGAAAGAGAGCAGAGACGGAGGAGACCATGCGAAATAGAAGAGAAAGATCCGAACGGGAGGGAAAAGAGAGATCGAGCAGTGCGGTTAGGGACGCGGCAAGAGGAGGAGGTTTGAGGACGGGGCGCCGAGGAACATGTGCGGTTTGTAGTGATGGGATCGAGTACCTTACCAACATGCTCAATTTGATTAGATTCCAACCACGTCTAGCAATATTTTCCAAACTTCAGGGAGAAAGCCGTCCCCTGGAAAGAGGATTTAACGGCCACCTGCACATGTTATTTATCCTATTCCATAGAAAAAGTCCTCCGTTTCCGATAAAGCTCTCCGAATCGAGCGTCCAAAGACCAAAGAGTTTCGCCTAAGTTCAAGTGCTCAGTGAACTTGATCCCATCCCTAGCGGTTAGTCTTTCTACGGGAGAGGGACGGGTGGGGAGCAGGGAATCGCATTGGTGCGGGAGAGGGACGGGACAGTCGAGCGCCGCTGGCGGGAGCGGTTGCCAAGGGAGTGGGGAGAACGCGGCGAACGAAATGGGAGGGGAGAACGGCCCGGCGCCGCTGCGTGTCATTGCTGGCGCCAGCTAATTGTCGAGGCCAGTCGGCATTAGCCGACGAGCTGACCGAACCGAACAGAACCGAGCACCACGAATGCACAGAGTACCTGCTTCTCCCAGGTTGTCCGCCTGACCAGAGCTGCGTTCATGATCACGCGCGCCGGAATCGACTTGTTTGCGTTTTAGGTTTCGCGACGTTTCTTTGGCGTGGCATTTAAGCCCTGAGAATAAAGCACGGTTCTCAGAAAGAACTAACCGCATCCACAGGTAGTTTTTTGAAAAGAATGATATTTCGGAAAATGAATCCTTCGCTGCAAGATGAGCAAATAGCGTAGCTTTGGAACCACGTGATTCATTGTAACATTACTACAGTCTCAAACTGACACCAGATTTATTGTAAACAACAGTTTTCGCACACAATACGCTACAGTAAGATATTCACAAGGTTCAAGTTGGCAAAGTGTACATTAAATCGCGAAGACCGAACGACGAAACTGGTTAGCCAAGTGGAATTAAATTATTTATTAATGCCACGTGGATCGGTGCATCGTGCGGTTCTGCGAGTTGGCGATATTTTATAGACGTGTTCGCGGAATCCGAATACGATTTTCTATATCGTAAACATTATCATCAAGCATTTTATAGGCGCCAGTAACGCGGTTTGTAGCGTTCGTCGACATTTATCGAAGGTGAATCGCATTCGCGGTGGCGCCTTGTTTTCGCAACGCGACACAGACGCGTTGCCTTTATCTGTTTTCGCCTTCGTCGGTATTCGAATATCGCTGTGCCGTTAATAATTCACTCCGATAAATCGATTATTATCGGGCAGACGGGTGTCGTTACGGAAATTGTTGCGCTAGTATTACGTTCCCTATCGTTGTCAATTTATTTTCTACTTGTAACAATTTCCCCTCCTTCTCCCAACGTGCGGCGCGTCTTCTAATCTCGTGCAACTATAATTCAAACTTTCATTCGTATTCAAAGAGTACACTTTTTAGTTTTATCTAAGAAAGAATTTTGTTCATCCTCGCTCGTGTGGTTGGTAGAAAATATAATCGATCAATTAAAGAATAGAGAAAGACGTAACCTTTATTGACGTCGTTCCGGTATTTACTATCGAAACTTGGGTATGATTTTAGACAAGAAAGTGAGTTCAAATGTATTTGCGTATCCATTGTATACACTATACTGTTTCTATTCATATCCCGAAAGGCGACTACAATTTCAACACTTTGGCACTCTACTAATTCCTTCATACCGACATCAAAATTAATAAAGAAAGAGATCTCATTTCAGAGACGAGATAACACTGCGTGTGTTTTCGGAGACGTACCACGATTTATCAGCAAAATCTGTGAATTATACAATATCCCGATCGACTAGTAGAATATCTCTTTAGCAAGGTTCATCAAAATTGATCATAAACAAATCCTGTCGCCCTGGAGCTTGAGAGGTGGTAACCACTGGTACTCGAATATCGCGAATGGTTCGTTTTCTGCATCGTTCCTATTGCAACCTGCGGGAATACACACCGGCCATTGCCATACGACTTTTAGCCTACCATTCATACCTTGCGCGACCGAGCAAGGCGAGACGATGGTAAGCAAGGTCACCGTGTTTTGGCAAACCGGAGGAGCTCAGGCACACGGTGCAGAATTTCAAACCAACCAGTGAGTCAGACATTTAATTTTAATTGATACGTCGCTGCGACGCCGACGGTGTCGTCGTATCCATACACTGTCACTTCAATGTTCTGTCTACTCCTCCACAGTTCGCATTTTACACTAACGCTCTAAAATTCTATTAACATTGATCTTACGTTAATGCAATAAGTTGACAAAATTAGTTCAGACGGAAAACTTGAGTAAAGACGTATCGAAAAATCGGAGCAACCTATTGTTGACGCGCGAGAAGAATTAATTTAGCGATTTTAGCGTAGCAATTTGTTCTCTCCGCTTTCAGGACGGTACGTAAATGGACGGAAAACCGTGTACCGGTTTCGTCAGGCGTGCCAATAATAAAATCCACCGGTTTTGGAGCAGACCGGCCGTGCCGTGCGCCAGCCGCGTCGCGATTCCCATTAATACCGCTTAATCGAAAACAGAGCCTTGAGTCGGATTCCCGTCCCTTCTCGGCCATCGTCGGCGTCGGTCCGTTTTGGATTGAATCGGAATCGGGACGCGAGCGTAACGAGATTCCCGCAAAAATAGATTCATCGCACGTTCGCGCTGGCGCCGTTGATGAATGTCTCCGGTTCGTTTTAGGTTTGGGCGGCCTGTAGCCATTTGTGGTGCTCGTTGCCATGAAAGTTTCTTGTTTTTGCTCTTGCATGTTAAGAATTCTCCAAAAGGGTCTTCAGGAATTTACTTTCTAATGAGAAAATAGTAGCCAAGTTCTCAGACTATACCAGGCTCGCTAAGTATTTTGATGGGCATTTTCCTTTCCAGTGTTTATTTGAATAATAGTTGACTTTAAAGAATATTTTAAAGAATTTTTAAAGAATTCTCCTTTTAAATAATTCCTTGTTACTTATTTGCTTATTTACTCGTTTATTGTTGTTTCAGAGTCGCCGCCACCCCCGTACTGCCTTATTGCCGACAGACTGAGACCCGAAGGTGAGTCTCTTCCTCTCTCGTAATTTTATCGTAATTTTATCGTAATTGTATACGTATTCGCGGATGCGTTCCACGGTTGTCGGTATGCGAGTGCATGGAATGCATCCACGCAATCGTTCGAGCGATAACTCATATTTATTACTCGCAAACGTTCACCATCCCATCCTCAGAGATCAGCCTTTAGCGTGTGTCACGTCGCGTCGTCCAGCTTGGAGCAAGGTTAAAGATAATAATACTGGTAGCGATGTGTCTTTACCAAATTTGAATATCAGGTTGATATTTAATATCACGCGTTCACCGCGTGAATTTGCTGTTTTTATGGCTGAAAAAAACGTTGAGTTTTAATAATTGATTCGATCTAGAACTTGTAAACATTTTTTTTTAATAAATCGAAGAGGTTGGTACCAGTATGAACACTGTACTGAAACGGGCCGATTTGAGTACATCGTTTTATGTTCACTTTATTAATTGCGGTCAATCTTCAACTCGTCGAATATCGGCAATATCATGCGGTACGACCTAATAAGTCTACGCGTTATTACGACGCAGCCTGATGGAAATTAGTAATTAATTTCGTAGAAACTATTGCAAATGGAGATCCAAAACGCTACTTATTAAAATGATAAAATTGTAAAAGAGCTATTAAAAGGGAGAAAAAAATGATACAATATTCGGATTGAAATTCAACTGAAATTGAGAAATATTCAGGTAGTTTCGTTGTTTCTCATGGGAGTCGATTCTTTCTCGAGAAATATGTATTCTGGTTCTATTGCGCGTCCTCGATGCGGTATTGTCCTCGCCTATAGACGCCATTTTTATCGTAGTTGCAGGTGCGTCGAACCGAGAAACCGGTGTCGCGATATTGTCCAATAAGGAGATAAATAAAGTATCACGAACGAAAAACACTGGTTTAGAAGAATCATTCATTCCAAGATGAACACTTTTTAAAGTAAAGTGTCGAATTTTTCTTCAAATTTATTACCAACGCCATGCCAACGTCTCAAAATAATTCATGATGTAATTTTTTTGCAATATTGGGAACGTGTTTACTCAGCGTTTCCCAGTTCGATGACCATTCGACTCGATGACAAGCGACTAGCTTCGTATACGCGAATAGATCATCTTGGAACTACAACGGACGTGTTGTAAGTCGATCTTATTGATTGCGACGAACCGTATGGCTATACGTTTCAGGGTATCGCCGTTTCCCGTGGTCGACGCAGACCTGCTAACAAACATCGATCCGCTCGATGGAAGTCGATCGGTCTTATCGTATGTTGTATCGTGAAAATTTCACGCCTGCGCTCCAATTTGTGTGCCATAGTCTCGTAAACAGAGTAAAGGGAAAATAAAACAAGGGACAAACATTTACTGAACTATTCAAAATTTCTCAGTTCCCACTTGATCTCATAAAATATAAAAATATAAATAAGCAAATGTATATATTTTCATCGCAGGTTTCGATACAAGAGAAATTATATTCGTGCTATTTTTACGGCCACCTTAGCAGGCCTCGGTTTCCCGTGGCCGATTTTGACTGACTGTTCCCTGTTCCATTCTTTTTCTCTTTTTCCGCTTGGTTCTAAACTGGTTCTCGGGATCAATACCAGCGCATGAGTGCACGCAGACCCTTCAGCCATCGATAGATTCATCTCGCGTTCATCGATTGGTCGTTGGTTTCGATTCTTCGTGAACTGGTTGCGTAATGACTTTGTATAACAGCGAAATGCTCTTGGAGCTTTTAATTGGAGTCAATGAAAAACTTGGAACTATTAGTAGATATTTGTTGATAATCAAAGTTTATACAAATACACGAGTTTGAAACTAGTTTTCAAAGTTATTCCTCCAATGACTACTCTGGAGTTTGATCTGCCGAGTTCTCAGAAGGATTTGACTCACAAAGAACTAATTTTCCTCTGTTATTGCATATATAATATAAACGATGCCATTGTTTCGACGGATACTATTCATTGTACGCCAACAATTTCATGATTGTAAATCGTGCGTATCGATGATGCAAATCGTAGTTCATCCTAAGCAATTAATACACACTCGCGTGTCTTTGAAATCCCACGATGACGTATACAAGATGGCACCGTTTGCGCCAAGCTATGACGAAATAATAGCGCCTGGGGCTACAAGAACCGTGTGTTCGATTGACGATACACATGCATACGCACGTGTCTATGCTTCGAGTACGCGTATACCGGGTGTACGGAACATAACTTGACCGTCTATCTCACTTTTGACACCTCGAAATCAAAAGTATCGTTACTTTGAATATCATTGGAACTATTAAATTCCACTTACAACTCAAATATTCCACGTATCGATTGAACCGTTTCATCGCGTTAACAGTTCCATCGACAACGTGAAATCATCGATCGAGAAAAACATGTTACATTATCGCGATAAAATCAGATTGTTAGGAGTGCTCGTCGTCCGTGTAAATGCAAGAAGGAAAAAGCGGAGTTCTCCGTGGAAAGAAATTCATTATGAGAGTTTGCGTCTCCCACGAGCCAACAGATGTAGCCGCGTAGGATTTATGCTCGGAGAAGGAAACTGGGCCACAGCGATGGAGCAGAGGAGATAAAAGACCGCGCATCGCCACTTGTTGCATTCAACCGGGAAATAGGAGAAATTTCTTCATTCATGAAACTCGAACCAGCAGTCCGTAAACCAGCGGACTATGAACCGGAGTGCAATTAACGGAGCAGAATAGCTCAGACGCTCAGGACGCGGACGGGGCAAATAACAGATTCTCTACTTTATGACACGTGATCGAATAGAAATAATAATAATCCTAGTATCGACAGGCATAGTTTAATATTTGGATTATTTGGAAAAAGAGTAAAGAATACAGTGCTCACGAAAGAAAATGAAGATTGATATTAACACAACGAAGGTTGAAAGTCCCCAACATTGTGAAAGTAGAAAGATGATTCTTTCTTGAATTTTTTATGGGTGAGAAAAAGGCAGGCGGACGAGGAATTTCTGCGGCCGTTCGATATTATTTCCGCACGTGGTGTTTGAACGCTGTCGGTGACAGAGTTCCACCAGCGATTGCGCAAATTTCAACGAATACGACGAAGGACATGGCACAACGCTCCGTGCAGTCCCTTTCAAACGCACGAGGACAAATCTTGCTCGTATTGCGTTACGCCGCGCCGCGCCGCGCCGGCTGCGTTTTTAAGCTTTCCGCTCTCGATTCAGCCCCGTCGTGAATCACCGCATTATTCTGACCGAGGCGTCACCGTCGATGACATTCTGTCCGCGGATTCGAATTAAAATACGCGAAAGCACAATGGCCGCCAGCACCCAAAAATTGGCGAACACGTCATAGATACTTTACTGGGATTCTTGAGCTACTGCAAAACTTGAGAGTTTATCGAATTCTTTTACGTCAAATTTAATTCTCTCTCTCTCTCTCTCTCTCTCTCTCTCTCTCTCTCTCTCTCTCTCTCTCTCTCTCTCT